TGTGTGTGTGTGTGTGTGTGTGTGTGTGTGTGTGTATGTGTGTGGAACTGGGGATTGAACCCAGGACTTTCATTTACACTGAGCACCATCCCCAGCCCTTTTTAAAATTTTTTATTTTGAGACAAGGTCTCACCAAGTCGTTACAATGTCCAGGGTGGGCTGGAAATTGCAGTGTTCCCGCCCCACAGTCCAGGGATGACCGCCCCGAGACACCACGCCTGTCTTACTGTTTCTTTTTTACAGCAATGCAGGTCGCCCTGTCTCCTCCTGATACTGTGCCCATGCCTGTCTCCTCTCCATCCTGAACTTTCCTGGGCCCTCCTAAGGGCGTTCGTGGGAGCAGAGTGCAGGGCTCCGTGGTCCCTGCCTCCGCAGGCTGCGGGACAGTATCCCTGGGGACATCCGGTTGACTCTACCCGTCCCTCTGCAGCCTCGCGGCGGCAGCCCATGGATCCAGGGCTGTTGCGGCCGGCGCCGGTGAGCGAAGTCCTGGTGCTGCACTACAACTACACGGGCAAGCTGCGCGGGGCGCGCTACCAGCCGGGCGCGGGGCTGCGCACCGACGCCGCAGTGTGCCTGGCCGTGTGCGCTTTTATCGTGCTGGAGAACCTGGCTGTGCTTGTCGTGCTCGCGCGCCATCCGCGCTTCCACGCGCCCATGTTCCTGCTGCTGGGCAGCCTCACGCTATCTGACCTGCTGGCCGGCGCCGCCTACGCCACCAACATCCTCCTGTCCGGGCCGCTCACGCTGCGACTGTCGCCGGCGCTCTGGTTCGCACGCGAGGGCGGCGTCTTCGTGGCGCTCGCCGCGTCCGTGCTGAGCCTCCTGGCCATCGCGCTCGAGCGCCACCTCACCATGGCGCGCCGGGGACCCGCGCCCGCCGCCAGCCGAGGGCGCACGGTGGCGCTGGCGGCCGCCGCCTGGGGAGTGTCCCTGGTACTGGGGCTGCTGCCCGCGCTGGGCTGGAACTGTCTGGGCCGCCTGGAAGCCTGCTCCACCGTGCTGCCGCTCTACGCTAAGGCCTACGTGCTCTTCTGCGTGCTGGCCTTCTTGGGGACCCTGGGCGCCATCTGTGCGCTCTACGCCCGCATCTACTGCCAGGTGCGCGCCAACGCGCGGCGCCTGCGCTCAAGACCCGGGGCCACCAGGGCTGGCGCCACCAGCGCGCGTCGCACCCCGCGCTCCCTGGCGCTGCTCCGCACGCTCAGCGTGGTGCTCCTGGCCTTCGTCGCCTGCTGGGGACCCCTGTTCCTGCTGCTCCTGCTCGACGTGGCGTGTCCCGCGAGGGCCTGCCCTGTACTCCTCCAAGCCGACCCCTTCCTGGGGCTGGCCATGGCCAACTCGCTGCTCAACCCCATCATCTACACCCTCACCAACCGCGACCTGCGCCACGCGCTCCTGCGCCTGCTCTGCTGCGGCCGCCGTCCCTGCGGCCCACGCCCTGACGGCTCCCAGCCCTCGGGGAGCAAGGCTGGGGCCTCGGGGGCCCTGAGACGCTGTCTGCCCCCTGGCCTGGACCTCAGCTCCAGCCGCTCCGAGCGCTCTTCGCGCCCGGGCGACGCGGTGGACACCAGTGGCTCCATAGGCAGCCCTGGTGCAGCTATGACTGGCCGGACCCTGGTACCCGGCTCCACTGCGGACTGATGCCCGACATCCACTGTCGCCCTTCCCAAGAGCTATTCTAAAGACGTTTTCTTTTTTAAATAAAGAATTTATAGGAAAGACAGCTGAAAATGATGGAGAAGGAAATGACGCAGGGAAAATGTAAATCCCGTGACAGGACACAAACAATCCTTGAGCCAGTCGTGCTAGTGCACGCCTGTACTTCCAGCATTTGGGAGGCTGAGGCAGGAGAATGGATGGAAAGTTTGAGGCAAGCCTGGGCTACGTAGTGAATTCAAGGCCAGGCTGAGCTAGGGTATGAGACCCTGTCTCAAACAACATCAAAAAATTCCTTGCCTTCATGGAACTGACGTTCTGGTTCAGGACACAGACACAAATGCAGTGGTGTAATAATGGAGATGGTTCTGGCGACAACACAGACATGAGATGGTGTAGAGGTAGTGACAATGTGGGCTGAGATGCCATGGTCCTGAGGACGCCTGAAGCAAAGCATCTCGGGATGAGGACTCAGCAAGTGCATTTGGCAAGGGCCGGTGGCCACTGCTTGGGGTGTGCAAGGAAGCCAGAAGGCAACAGGGACTGCCCGAGCCCAGAGGAGTCACGATGGAGACCTCCACTCTCCTTGGACCAGTGAGAGTCTACACAGAGTTTGGAGCCTGAAGACAGAATGAATAATACAGTGTGAGTATGGGCAGAACAACTTCCAAATATGACCGTGGGACACTCACATCTTAACAATTTTTTTTTAAATTTTTTGCACTCCTAAGGATGGAACCTAGGGCCTTCACACTGAGCAACATCCCCAGCCCCTTTTTTATTTCTTATTTTGAGATGGATCTTGATAAGTTGCTAAGTTGCCCAGGCTGGGCTCAAACATAGGACCTTCCTGCCTCAGCCTCCTGCAGTGCTGGGATCTCAGTCAAGCATGTGCCTTGGGCTGGGCTGGGGTTGTTCTCTATGGTAGAGCACTTGCTTGCACAGCATATATGAGGCCTTGGGTTCCAAATTCTTTGACTGTGGTGTAGAATCCTTCATTTTAAAAATACAAATAAAATAATAAGAGCAACTACTATTTATTATACTTGACTAGTTCCCTGCTCTGAGCTAGGTCCAAGAATTATTATTTTTCTCCCTTACTATAACTTGTTTTGTTTTGAGACAGAATGATGTCACTATATAGTTCAGTGTGGCCTTAAGTTCACTATGTGGCCCAGGCTGGCCTGGAACTTTGGGAGATCCTCCAGCCTCAGGCTCCAGAGTGCTCAATTTCAGGCGTGGGCCACCACACCCAGCGTATTGTAACTGGAAAGTAGGGGTCTTCACTTCCATTTCACAGATAACTGCACACAGTGGGTCTCTCACCCCAGGGTCTGGGCCCCAGGACCGGCCTAGGCTATCCCAGACTGGCAGGCAGAAGGAGGCCTTGCAGGGTCTGGCAAGACTAGCCCAACCCTCCCTCCCCCGGGGGTCGCATTCTTGCCTGGGGGGCGATACCAGGGTCCCGTTTGTGCCCATAAAAGGCTACAGGCGCGCTAGTCAGGGCCCTTTGCGGGTCTCCAGACACATTCCCCGAGCGCCAGGCATTGGAGCTGGTGGGGCGGGGCGGGGGCGTCTGACTTTGTGCTCAGGCCGCGGCGCGCCACCTTCTGGGAGACATCGGAACTGCACGCAGCCCTGGAGACTGTTAGGAGCGAGGTCGCTGACCTGGCCTTCGGGCGCATCTCCGCCCGACACGCTCAGGTTGCCTCTGCAGGCCACGCGCATGGAAAACCAGCCTCTTTCAGGAACACAAGTGCACCCGAGCCTGGGGTCTCTGGACAGGTCGCTCCCAAGGGTTCCTGTCCCCAAGCTACTGTGATCTCCAGGGTGAATTCCAGGCCTCCCCGACACCTCCTCTGCTGATTAGATATAATGGTAGGGAATTTATAGATTTTTTTCCCACTAAATTAAAAAAGCAGCTAGTTCTCCTTCTTGGTCATCATTACTGTTGGGTTTCCTAGGGAAGTTCCAGGACTATTTTGCGGATTAATGAACTTCGATTTAATTTTTAATTTTTATTTTAGACAAGGTCTAAAATACTTTCTATTGTAGCAACTGTTCGGTACATAATCCTCCTGCGCATGTGCAGTGTGCTGTGGATAACCTACCCCCGGGGGTCGCTTTCCCGACTGAGGTTAGTTACCCACTGGGTCAGAGGTCCTGCAGGTTTGATTTTGAGAGACAAGAGTTCTTGGAGAGCGCAGAAACTTAGTACTAAACATGTTCATTTGCGTATTTTCATGTTCCTATTTACAACTTTAAAAAAAAGTTCTTGGCGAGTGAGCGGTGAGTGTGAGCCTGGGCGATCGGTGCATTGGCTGACGTTGATAGAGCGCCCCCTCCGGGGATGTCCGGAACTGCAGCTTCACACCGGGAGGAGGGAGAACCCCACACAGCGGCTTAGAGGGTTTATTTGCCCTAAATCTCGACCTGGAGTCTACCAAATGCACCCTGGAGGCCTCAGAAACTTTATTTTAAAAGAGCAACCTATTTTCTTTATGTTATTCACTTACTTGTATTTATATGGATTCCTTCAAATAAATTTAAAACCGGGGTTGGTGGCGCACGCTTGTCATCCCAGCATTGGGGAGACTGAGGCAGAAGGATCGCGGCGAGTTCAAGACCAGACTGAGCTACATAGTAAATTCAAGGCCAGCCTGGAATACATAGCGAGACCCTGTCTCAACAAACAAAACACCGCGAGGCCTAAACTGTGCAGAGTTAAAGGCAGAAGCACAGGCGGTGGAGACGTCCCCAGGCGAAGCTAGCCAGGTTGGGGGCAGAGGATACAAGCGAAGAAGCCTGGCCTGTACCTGGGCAGGGCGGGAACCTCCTGTCCCGGTCCGCCGCGTCCTTCCCGCCCTCTCCCCGCCCTCTCCCCGCTCGTCCCCCACCCGACGGCGCCACTTCACCGGCCACGCTGCCGCCCGCAGCTCAGGTCCCCCGACAGCAGCGGCACCCCAGGATCCCGGGCTGAAAAGGCTGCACAGGATCCGCCAGGACCAGGCCGCGGCTCTCAGGCTTCCCGTAAGCGTGGCGAGTGCCTGCAGACGCCCCAGCAACCCCGGGGACCCCCACCGCGGGGGACACGGACGGAAGCAACGCGGGGGCCAAGGTGAGCACCGGCGCACGCGGGTGGACAGCAGCCTCCCTGGTCGGGGCTCGAACCCGGGGCGCTGAGTCCGGGCTGCGCCAAGCGCGCATTTGCGTTCCCGCCAAGGCGCGCCCCGCGGTCCCCGCGCTGAGGCCGCGCGGCTCGTCCACCGCGGATGGGGCGAGGGCGGGTGGGGTGGCCACCGCTGCTGTCCTGCTGTCCGCGGCCAGGGCTAGGGGACTCTTATTGTGACGAGGCCGGCCGCGTGTGCTTAGTCACGGTGACCTGCGCGC